CTCATCAGGGCGCTTATTAATGCCGTAGTCTTCCCTAGTAAAATGAACTAAGTCGAGAAGGCACCTTGGACCTCCTTTGTTGTGGCTTAAAATTTTCTCGGATACAGAAGAGCGGTCAATTACGAAGAATTAGTCACTAAAATGTTAACTGCGTATCAAAACCTTAACATGAGCATTGTAACGACCCTGTTTTTGAGGCGGTATAGCTCGCCGTGGCCAGGGTTCGAGACAGAAATTTATTTCCTCTTTTGATCGGTTTACCTCCCTTTCCCCAAATAATAACACAAATCGAACGCTACAGAGTATGGTGTTACGGAACTGCATCTTTCCCGGAGGGCAGCGCCGGCTAGCCACGGAGTCCCAGGGCGGAGTACCCCCTATGCCCTGCAGTCCGAACAATCGATTCCGACTCATCGGACGTCTCACGTCAATTTACCATCTCTAGCACAAATCAAAACAAAACAAAACTATGTTTACATTAAGCAACTAAGACAATTCGACGAAATTGGTGGCTTCGATGTCCTTGCCACGACGCACCCACCCAACCTTGGGTGCCCCAAGAAAGATGTGGGAGGCACACCCCATCTCCGGCAGACCGGAGTCTATTCCTGGTGGATTAGGATCGGCTCATCTCCCCGCCCAAGGTAACTCACACAACCATCTCGGTAGCTTGTTTACATTTAATTTTTGGTGAGATTAATAAGTAAATACATTCGTTATTGATTCCTACTGATAATCTATTCTTTTCGTTAGAAACTCTCAAGGCCGATCTCAGACCGTCGCCCAGATGAGAAGCGGTCAAAGCGGCAACAACTGAAAGGGAAATTTTTAGACGCTTAGAGTTCAAAGTGTCAGGCAAACTCGCCACACGGCACTAAATTGGAGGCGTTTGCCAACCGGGTCGCCTAATCCTGAGGAGCTCCAAGGGAAAAGAAGGGACGTGCTGACAAGGTAAGTACGCTAAACAAATCCCACAAGTTATTAAATTTCGCGACCCAATTTAGATATAGTCGGACGCGCGGCCAGGGTTCGGGCTTGAGCCTCTAAATTTAGATCAGATTTCACAGTAAGTACTTTACAATCTTGACTGCATAATATCAAAAAACAACAACTAAAACTAATTTTTTTTCAGAGTTCAACGTCGTGTGTGTTGAAACTGCAGCAGGAAAAACGCTGATGGCGAAGACCAGCGCGACTCCGCACGGAGCCAATTGGTCCGGAGGATAGCGTAGCGTGGCCGGAAGCAGGGCGTCGGTGGACTTGGATATGACCACGTGGCCAGCGCGGGCATTCGTTCCCGGAACGGACTCACCGAGGGAATCCCCGTATCTGGCCGTCTTGGCGGCAGTCGCTGTAGCTGCTGGCGCTTGAGGCTGCTGCTGCTGCTGCTGATCGCTGCTGCTACTGATCGCTGCTGCTGCGGCCAATGCTGCTGCGGCTGATGCTGCTTCGGCTTATGCTGCTGCGGCCAATGCTGCTGCTGATGCTGCTGCGGCCAATGCTGCTGCTGATGCTGCTGCGGCCAATGCTGCTGAGGCCAATGCTGCGACGGCTGGTGGTCGACGACCAGGTTAGGTCCGCCTGGTAAGTTTTCACTTCCCAAATGTTTAAAATTTCCGGGGCCCTTTAGTTAGGGTCCCCGGCGGTTTGAGTTATTCAAACACTAATCACGAATTTAAATTTTTGGGTTTTTTTCCGACCGTTCTCCTACTACTTCTTGCAGCAACTCAAGCAAAACCCTGACCTACACCAAAGTCGCTCGCCATTTTCCCTCCCGCTCTCTCAAGATGGGTCAGCGAACGTATTCAAGGCCATCTAACCCAGTTAACGAGCGAACCGGGCTAAATTTAAATAGCTAGATCCTCTCCCGCTATCAATAGTCGGTGTCACCACCAAATCTTATCGATAGCGGGACCTGCTGACGTATCGGCTCGTTTCAGTATTTTCCAGACGGCTTCAACTGAAAATGCAACACCACCCTGGATTCCGAGAGACGCTAACACAGAGTTTTAGACTAGCGCAGGAATACTTGGGAGCATTTGGATTTGGACTATTCGGATTCCGCCGGCCTCGATGCCAAGATGCAGTTCCAACGGTGTCCAACGCGGGGCCCACGCTTTACGGGAAGTAGACACATGCCGATTCTGAGCTCGTGTACTTTGTTATTCCTCTTTCCAGATCACAACCTAATGTCCTTGGCATGGTACACTCCGATCAGTCGTCCTTGAAGATCTTCAAGCTCGTACGCATTATTGCCGACTGTCCTGACCACCCGAGCTTTTAGGAACTTCCGAGCAAACTTTGCATTGAAGGCCTTTTGAAATCGCTGGGGACAAAGTTGCGGCGACACACTTCCTGACCTGGCTTCGCAAGGAAAGTACGAGCCCTTTTGTCGTACCGCAGGCGACTCCGATCGTATGCATCTTCGAGGTTCTTCTGCACCTTGTCATGAATCACTTGGAGTTTATCAGCTGTTCTCATCCCAGACATTTCGTGATCACACAGCGACTTCAACTTCCTTGCCAACTTGTAGCTGGCTCCGTTCAGGAACATGTGTCGTCCGAATACGGTGAAGAACGGAGCTGCTCCAGTTGCTGAATGGACCGCGTTGCGGAGGGCCACCTCAATCTCCGGAAGATACGCGTCCCATTCTCGATGGTCTTCTTCTAAGTAACTTCGGATCGCCGCCAACACGCTTTGGTTCACCCTTTCCGCTGCGTTGCTTTGCGGAGAGTGGACTGGCGTTTTGATGTGCGTGATGCCAAAGCTCTCCATCGCCTCCTCGAAGATCTTGGACGTAAACTGGCGGCGGTTGTCCGAATGCACAATTTCTGGAACCCCAAACTTGTAGAACACCTCGTGAATGAGGAACTCCACTACATTGGAGGCCGATGCCTCTTGCATGGCCTTCAGAAATGTGTATTTGGAGAAGTGATCCACCACAATGATGATGTAGGCCTGTCCCTTCTTCGACCTCGGATACTTCCCCAGGAAATCGATGTACAGCTTCTGGAATGGCTGCTCAGTCTGGACTCTCTCACCGATACCAACTTGCATCCGGAAATTCGGGGATTTCGTCTCCTTGCACACCTCACACCTGCGTATGAACTCCCGGACTTGCAGTGCCATGCCAGGCCAGTAAAACTGACGCCGTAGGTTTTCCAGAGTTTTTCCCATTCCGCCATGAGCTGCCGTTGGATCCGAATGTGCACGCTCAATTATGCTGTGGGTCAGACTCTGGGGAATCCACAACTTCCATTCGAAGCCTTCCACCTCGTCATCCAGATTTGCCGAAAAGACTCTCTTGAAGATGAGACCATCCACTATCCTCAAGTCAGGTAGGTTGGCCAAGTTTCTTTCCACTTCTTGTAACAACTCCGTGTAACTCTGACGGGTCCAGTGTAAGCTCTTCAACACAACGTGAAAGGGTATCTGCCTCGACGTTCTGGCTTCCTTTCCTGTGTTCGATGTTGAAGTCATATCCCTGGAGTTGCAATGACCACCGAGCCAGCCGACCCGAAAGATCTTTCATGGACATAAGCCACTTCAAGCTGGCATGATCCGTGATGCACGTAGACGTCATTCCTTTCACATACGGCCGGAACTTTCGAATGGCCAGCAGGGCTGCGAGGCATTCTTTTTCGGTGACGGTGTAGTGGACTTGGTGACAATTCATTTTGGCCGAGAAGAACGCTATTGGTTGCTCCTGGCCGTCTTCATCCCGCGGGAACAACACTGCACCGACTCCGATCTGGGATGCATCGCACTGGATGAAAAAGTGCCGCTTGAAGTCCGCATGTACCAGCACTGGCGCAGTAGTTAGGGCCATCTTCAGGGACTCTACTGCCAGCTGTGCTTCTGGACTCAAGGAAAACTTCTTATTTCCCATCTTCTTCAAAGATTCCGTGAGCGGGGCAGCCAAAGTTGCGAAGTTCTTTATGAACCGACGGTACCAACCTGCGGTCCCAAGAAAGGCTCTCACTTCCTTCATGGTCCTTGGCTCAGGCATCCGCCTAATAGCTGCTACACGCCCTGGATCCATCCGCAGACGTCCTCCACCCACTATGAAGCCGAGGTAGGTCAAAGACTTGAAGCAAAACTTCGACTTGCTCAGCCCAATGGTTAACCCTGCTTCCTTCAGGCATTCAGCGACTCGGCGAAGATACTTCAAGTGCGTTCTTATGTCGGGCGCTAGTATTAGCAGATCATCCAAGTAGACGAACACATTTGAGCGGATTTCAGCAGGAATTACTCGGTCCATGAGTCTCACCAGCCTCTGTGATGCGTTGCAGAGTCCGAAAGGCATCACGCGGAACTGGTAAAGAGGCCGACCAGGAACCGTAAAGGCTGTGTATTCCTTGCTGCTCGTGTCCAACTCAATCTGCCAAAAAGCGAACTTCAAATCCACGCTGGAAATGTAGTATGTTTGCTCAATTCTGGACAGGATGCCGTCTATGCTGGGCAACGGGTAAGCATCTTTGATGGTCACATCATTAAGCTTACGTGCGTCTAAGCAGAACCGGTGTTTTCCAGATCTTGATACTACGGTGGTGCGGTTACTCCAGGGGCTTTTGCTCTCCTCGATGACTCCGAGCGCTAGCATCTTGTCGACCTCGTCCTCGACCACCTTCTGCTTCGCGGGAGACATCGGATAGGGTCGATCCTTGAACACTTTGGCTCCGTCCATCAGCTCAATAGTGTGTTTCTCCAGACTGGTGGTACCTAAGCCATCCCTCTCGAAAGTCAAGAACTGCTGCTTGATCTCCTCCAGCTCTTGTTCCTCGGCCTTGGAAAGCGTCCAGGACTCGGGATCGGGTTTCTCCTCATCGTCATCCTCGACTTCCGCGTAGTGTTCCATCTCCCTGGCGTGTAATTCTTCGGCCTTCTTCACGCCTTCCGAATTTATGTGGCCTATAATCGCTGGGGCCAGTCCGAATGCTTGCCAAAAATCAACTCCAAAATAAGCTGGCTGCTCCAGGTAAGGACACAAGTAGAAGAGAATGTGCTCTGTCCGTCCTCGGTATTCCACCGGTAACTTGACCCGTCCTATAATTGACCGATCCTCTCCAGAGCCCGTACGGACTGCGGATAAGTACTTCTGGACGGGCACATCCAAGGCCTCGACCAGCTCTCTGCCACCTTTTCCAAGCAGACTCACACTCGCTCCAGTGTCCAACAACCCCGTCAGTTGCTTGGTCAGAACTCGGACTGCGGCGAACGGTCTGGGATCTCGCGATAAACTGCGCCTCACGGCGGCCACTGCTTCGCGTCGGCAGTTCCGACGTTTGCGAAATCGCTCCCTGGCCTTTTGCACCTTACGAGACACCATACGCATCCCGCCCAACTGGTGCTCTGAGAAGATCCTGTTCCTGGTCTCTAGATACCGTCGCATCCTCTCCGCATAAGGTAAGTATCGTAATGCAAACTTATTACTATTTTTAGAAGGTAAACATTTATCTAACCCTACCAGCTCTTCTTCTCTGCGGAACTCCTGTTTGGACGCATCCTCTCCGCCCTCGGATCGCCCAGCCGACCGTTTTCCGCACAATCCGGACATTTGGGAGACACGGTGTCTGGCTTCCCACATCGGTAGCAGAACACTCTGCGTTCTGTTGCTGCGCAGTCACGGAACCCGTGATCCACGGCTCCGCAATTCCAGCAGCCGGCTCGGAACGGATTTTTTAGGCTTCGCCCGCACTTCATCCACCTCTTGCCACGGAGGATCCTCACCAGGATCTGGGCCAATCGCCTCGCTAACCTTGGCCTTTTCCGCCAGAGGATACCGCATCGGCTGCGTGTACGTGGTCCGTCCACGTCGTCCAAAACTGCGCTCCACCTCGCAGCACTCTTCCCGCAGTTCATCCACCGTGAGCACGTCCATCGCGTAGACAAACCTTGCGATGCTCTCCCTCAATCCCTTTTTAATAATCTTCACCAGCTGCCGCTCTGACAGTGGCCTTTTCAGTCGAGCCGCCAACTGCTGCATCGCATGGATGTAATCGCCAACTCCTTCTCCGGACTGCTGCTCCCTCTGCAGAAGTTGGTGCATCCGATCGTGCTCCGTCTGATGGCATCGGAACCTATCCATCAGCGAGGCTCGAAGCTGGGACCACCTGTCCACCCTGCAGTGACGCACGTGCACCCAGTACCACTCCCGAGCCCGCCCAGTGAGCAGCAGGTGGAAGTTTCGGAGCACCTCTTGCCACGGGCATTGGCACTGCCGCTGCAGGAACTCCAACCGGAAGAGAAAGTCTTCCACCGAGTTTCGCTCATCCTCCCCGTCGAAGGATACGCCCCACCGCTCAATTCGCCATTGCTGGTTGGCGGCTGCCGGCCCCACATTGGCATACAGACGCGGCTCCTCCCGGAACTCTGAGGCCCTGCGGTCCTCAATGCACCAGCTGCGGGCCGGGCCATCGTCTCGGCGCGACCTGAAATGATCCGGAGGATGCCCGGGACTGCTACTTTCCAACTCCTGGAAATCCAGCGGCCTCCTCGTCGGCTTAGGTGGCACCCTCGGCGGAGGTAGCCTGGAACCGTCCCTGCCGGCGACCTGTGTGTTCTTCGGCACCGCACCTTGCGGGGCTTGACCAGGGATTCCCGCGTTGATCCTTGAATCCGGACGCCTTCGCTCATCCGGCATGCTCTCCAGGGGAAGCTGAGGCCGCTGAGCAGCAGGCCTTAACACCTCGTTCATCAGCTTCATCATCTCCAGGAAGCCACTTCGGATCTCGTCCCTCAGTGCCAGATTGATCCCGCCTTCTTGGGCCTTCCGATGGGTCTCCGCCGCCTGTGCCAAAGCCACATTAACGGCCGACCTTGCCGCGGAATCCACAAAGGGATCGTCGAGTCTTGCGTCCTTATCGTCCAGCTGCAATAACTCATCCGCTGCGGAACCAATTCCCTCCAGGATCTGCTGCTGCCTTAGGTCCTGCTGCAGCTCTGTGTCCTGTGGTCCTTTTTGCTCTTGTTGCAGTCCCTGGCGCAAACGGGCAAGCGGAGTCCTGGGCAACCCTTCCGATATGCGCGGCAAGCCAGCCTCGGTAGCGCCCTCCACATCCGTGGACCACATCTTTTCGTCGTCCTCGCCTGGAAAACCTTTCGACCGAAGCAGGTGATCATGCTTGCTGCCTTGTCGCTTTGACATCCTGAATTTTGGTAACCCCTAACACGACTTCTGAAACCCCGAATTCAACGTGGCCACCAAAAGCCCAAATTATGTATAAATAATTAAATTATACTGAATGCTAGTAAATAATAATAAACAATAAATAAACACCACTAAATAATATGCGCCTAAATAATACGAATACCTATATTACCAGGCCAATAAATAATAATAATAAATAAATAGAAACAATAAACCATAACCCATAAGAAATAAATAAGAAAATATATTAAAGACCCACAAATACCTAAGGCTAAACAAATTCACACCAAATATTAGCTCTTATCAAAAAAACAAGTCCCTCGACTAAATTTCTTTCTCTATTTTTATTTTTTTTTTTCCAGCCTCAATAAGGGGAGATGGAGCCGATCGCCAGCCGGTAGACTCCGCGCCAGTCGTCTTGCGTCTACAATTTCGTCCGAATTCTCACTAAACAAACCGCTCGTTAACTGGACTAACTTTCAGCTGTGCTGAAAGTCGCCAGTTAAGGACTTCGGCTGTTTGCAGGATCGCATAGGATTTCCCTTTGGACTTTGCGTTTTTCATTCAAGTCGCGGTGGCCGAGCAGCGCGTGACGAAGTCACGGGTCACGACCACACATTTAAGTTTTAAACCGATATGATATGAAAACGCCAATACCCAGAAAACCCAAGGATCTGCACAAAAAAAAAAACAACTACACTGTAACCCCAAAACAAGACATTCATTAAAATTACGTTAACAAAAAAAATATGTCCCTAATACCTATATCACAGTTTAATCACCGTTTTTGGTTTAACCTTTCGTGCTTATTGCACGGACGACCTGGGATGCGAATCCTTCGATTTTCTTCGAAGAGGATGTCACCGCCAAATCACAGCTAATCCCTGTGAACTGTGCCTCGGGAGCAATTGTCCTACTTCTAGTGGACACGCCTCCCTTTCTTCCTACAAAATTTAAACAACTTTTCTCAACCAGTCCGCATCCCGGTGCAATTGCATGTGTGTCATGCAAGCCACCGTTCGTGGGCTGGCTGGAGATAATAAATATGCGAGACGCCGTCGACTCGGCTATCACATATTTTATTTGTTAAATTGGGCGCCATATTGTTACGGAACTGCATCTTTCCCGGAGGGCAGCGCCGGCTAGCCACGGAGTCCCAGGGCGGAGTACCCCCTATGCCCTGCAGTCCGAACAATCGATTCCGACTCATCGGACGTCTCACGTCGATTTACCATCTCTAGCACAAATCAAAACAAAACAAAACTATGTTTACATTAAGCAACTAAGACAATTCGACGAAATTGGTGGCTTCGATGTCCTTGCCACGACGCACCCACCCAACCTTGGGTGCCCCAAGAAAGATGTGGGAGGCACACCCCATCTCCGGCAGACCGGAGTCTATTCCTGGTGGATTAGGATCGGCTCATCTCCCCGCCCAAGGTAACTCACACAACCATCTCGGTAGCTTGTTTACATTTAATTTTTGGTGAGATTAATAAGTAAATACATTCGTTATTGATTCCTACTGATAATCTATTCTTTTCGTTAGAAACTCTCAAGGCCGATCTCAGACCGTCGCCCAGATGAGAAGCGGTCAAAGCGGCAACAACTGAAAGGGAAATTTTTAGACGCTTAGAGTTCAAAGTGTCAGGCAAACTCGCCACACGGCACTAAATTGGAGGCGTTTGCCAACCGGGTCGCCTAATCCTGAGGAGCTCCAAGGGAAAAGAAGGGACGTGCTGACAAGGTAAGTACGCTAAACAAATCCCACAAGTTATTAAATTTCGCGACCCAATTTAGATATAGTCGGACGCGCGGCCAGGGTTCGGGCTTGAGCCTCTAAATTTAGATCAGATTTCACAGTAAGTACTTTACAATCTTGACTGCATAATATCAAAAAACAACAACTAAAACTAATTTTTTTTCAGAGTTCAACGTCGTGTGTGTTGAAACTGCAGCAGGAAAAACGCTGATGGCGAAGACCAGCGCGACTCCGCCCGGAGCCAATTGGTCCGGAGGATAGCGTAGCGTGGCCGGAAGCAGGGCGTCGGTGGACTTGGATATGACCACGTGGCCAGCGCGGGCATTCGTTCCCGGAACGGACTCACCGAGGGAATCCCCGTATCTGGCCGTCTTGGCGGCAGTCGCTGTAGCTGCTGGCGCTTGAGGCTGCTGCTGCTGCTGCTGATCGCTGCTGCTACTGATCGCTGCTGCTGCGGCCAATGCTGCTGCGGCTGATGCTGCTTCGGCTTATGCTGCTGCGGCCAATGCTGCTGCTGATGCTGCTGCGGCCAATGCTGCTGCTGATGCTGCTGCGGCCAATGCTGCTGAGGCCAATGCTGCGACGGCTGGTGGTCGACGACCAGGTTAGGTCCGCCTGGTAAGTTTTCACTTCCCAAATGTTTAAAATTTCCGGGGCCCTTTAGTTAGGGTCCCCGGCGGTTTGAGTTATTCAAACACTAATCACGAATTTAAATTTTTGGGTTTTTTTCCGACCGTTCTCCTACTACTTCTTGCAGCAACTCAAGCAAAACCCTGACCTACACCAAAGTCGCTCGCCATTTTCCCTCCCGCTCTCTCAAGATGGGTCAGCGAACGTATTCAAGGCCATCTAACCCAGTTAACGAGCGAACCGGGCTAAATTTAAATAGCTAGATCCTCTCCCGCTATCAATAGTCGGTGTCACCACCAAATCTTATCGATAGCGGGACCTGCTGACGTATCGGCTCGTTTCAGTATTTTCCAGACGGCTTCAACTGAAAATGCAACAATGGTTATATTTTAATCGTTCGATTGATTAAGACTACGTTTTCTAACTATAATTATATCGAGCGTGACACTGCTTGCTACGTGGTGTCGGCGCTGCTGAAGGGCCGAATGTGGTACTGCTTGTTGATATCGACGCTGTGGAAGGGCCGAGTGTGGTTCTGCTTGGTGATATCGGCGCTGCAGAAGGGCCGAGTGTGGTTCTGCTTGGTGATATCGGCGCTGCGGAAGGGCCGAGTATATCGCAGCTTATTGAGTATCGCACTGCTTTATGTGCGGGATCGGCGCTACGGAAGGGCCGTATGTTGCACTGCTTGCTGCTGGCACCACGCAATGGTTCGAGGAACTGCTTGGCGTTGCCGATGTGTGGTGGCTGAGTGTACCGTGTGTTGTTGACGTCGTGTGGTCGCTGGGTATACTGCTTGGTGTCGATGATGCGCTGTGGCCAGGTGTACTGCTTGGTGTCGATGATGCGCTATGGCCAGGTGTACTGCTTGGCGTCGGCGTTTCGTCGGTCGAGTATGTCGGGTTCGTAGTGTTCTGGGTCGTTTTTAGAGGAACGAACTACTTGGATTTTCTATTGGGATGTGGGAATGTTGGGCATCGTTAGTTTCGAGCTGCTGTTCTATTCCGTATCGTTTCCGGTTCGGAAGCCGGAAACGTGAATTCTGGGGAGAACTCACTGAGATGGGCCGGAGTTACGAAAACCGTGCCGGGCTCAGAAATCTCGACCGGGCCTAGGTGCGTATCCCTAAACCACACCGGGCGTCGGTGATCCTCACAAGGTCGTAGAGTCGAAATTCAAAACGAACTCTTACGGATCCACCACCACTACCAAGACTAACTACCAGAACACTTACCCGGGTATTCCTCCTGTTGGTTGGTTCCTCGAGAGTCGTCGGAACGCAAGTGACTGGTCTGGGGCTGTGTCTCCGCTTATATAGGCGCTGCTTAGTGTGACCAGATTGCACGATGATGATAATCCCGCTTTGGGTGATCGGTTTTATTGGGCGATGATTATCGGCAATTGATAACATAGTCGAATAAATGTGACCGGGTGCTGTTGAATAATAAAAGGCCAGTGTTTGGAATGTTCTTTTTTAAGTTTTAATGAGGAAGTTGAATTATATATATATTTGTGACGGTGGGTCGTTTCGATTCCGTGGATGTCCTTTGTGGGGATCTCGACCTGTGCCTGTTCCGTTGCGGTTGCTTGGTTTCATATCCTGTTCCTTTTCTGTGTCCTTGTATTGCCATTGTCGTCGTTGTAGGGTTTATTTCTTGTCTCCTAACTGGTGCCTGCCTCGCGACCGGTGCTGCCCTGGTTGGTCTTCTGCCTCCAGCTGGACCTGCCACGTCCACGGCCTCTAATATGATGACTCGACGCCGCTGCTGGTTAAGGCTCTCCAGGTTTTTCCGGTATTTCTTTAGGGAGCTTTCCAGTTTCTTGTCCATTCTGAAAATTGAGTAATGGTTTTGATGATTAGTTAGGAGATATCATTTCCAGCTACTTCGTTATCAACTACGGGTTTCC